AGGATAGGATAGGATAGGATAGGATAGGATAGGATAGGATAGGATAGAAATGGAATAGCAGAGTTGGAAGGAACCTTGGAGGTCTTCTAGTCCAACCCCTTGCTTAGGCAGGAAACCCTACACACCACTTCAGACAAAGTGCTGTCTAATCTCTTCTTAAAAACTTCCAGTGTTGGAACATTTATAACTTCTGGAGATAAATTGTTCCACTGATTAATTGTTCTAACTGTCAGGAAATTTCTTCTCAACGGTTGCTAAATGAGACAGTCAGAAGTCAAGGGCGACCTTAATCAATCAGAGTCCTCCTGCCATGATTTCCCACTGCTACTTACTGCATCGAAACGGTGGAGACGGCTGAGGGGATCTTGCCCATCCCTCCACTTTCCACCAGCTCAATTGCTTGCTTCATCTCCATCTTATGATAGAAGGCAATCAACTGGGGCTCTTTGGATCTTTCCCCAGCAATCAGGCACTTCTTCACGTATTTCTTGTTGAAACGATTTAGCCTTTGGAGGAATCATACAACAGGGGCATGATTGGTGGGAGGAGGAGAATGGAAGATAGCAATAGCACTTAGACTTATATACCACTTCACAGTGCTTCACAGCCCTCTCTAAGCAGTTTTACAGAGTCACCATACTGCCCCCAGTAATCTGGATCCTCATTTTACCCACCTCGGAAGGATGGATGGCTGAGTCAGCCTTGAGCCTGGTGGGATTTGAACTGCCAAATTGCAGGGAAGCCGGCAGCCAGCAGAAGTAGCCTGCAGTACTGTACTCTAACCACTGTAAACGGTCCCAAAGCTTTGACTTATAAGATGTGATATACCAGGGGTCTCCAACCTTGGCAACTTTAAGACTTGTGGACTTCAACTCCCAGAATTCCTGACCTAACATGACTGGAGGGGGTACTCAGGAAGTTGAAGTCCACAAGTCTAAAAGCTGTCAAGTTTGAAGACCCCTGGTATACAGTGTAAGTCAAGTAATTCTTGACTTACGATCACAATTGAACAGCAATTTTCCACTGCTAAATGAGACAGTGGTTAAGTGAGTTTTGCCTCATTTTACAGCCCTTCTTGCTACAGATCTTAAGGGAATCACTGCCGTTGCTGTTAGTAACATGGTTGTTAAGTGAATCTTGCTTCCCCACTGACTTTGCTTGTCAGAAGGTCGCAAAAACTAACCCCACGATATTTGCCAAGTGTCCGAATTTTGATCACATGATGCTGCATGCGATGCTGCAATGGTCTAAAGTGGGGAAAAAATACCACTTTGTCAGCATCGTTCTAACTTCAAACTGTCACTAAATGGATGGTTGCAGATCAAGGACTACCTGTAGTCCAGGTTGCTGAATTTATTTTCTTGTGTTTACTTAGAAGCAAAATAATAATAATAATAATGATAGGCTAGATCAGAGGTCTCCAAACTTGGCAACTTTAAGACTTCTGGGAGTTGAAGTCCACAAGTCTACAAGTGGGGACCCCTGGGTTAGATGCTTCCCCCCTCTTTTTAAAAATCACACAATTGTTTTACACAAGCAATTAAAAATGATTCCTGTTGTTACCCGAAGTGATTCTTCCCTCCAAAAGTAGACATTTTGTTCAGTTGCTAAATCATGTCTATGTTGTAGTTAGCTGGCAGCAAGTGTGGATGGCTGAGGAGAGCGAGGACTCAGATGAGGGGCCAGGACCATCAGGAAGTGGGCTGCTGCCTTCAGAGATTGTGGGGGCTGGCAGCAGCGATGAGGAGGTTCCCGAGGAGCCTGTGCCAAATGCATGTGCGCACAGGGCTGCTCACAGGAAAGAGCAGCTGCAGCAGCACGGGCGACTCGGGAGTAAGGCTGCAAGGTAATGGCCCCTCCTTCAAGAAGATAAAAGCCAGCTGTGAATGGGACGTTCTTTGCAGGAAGCAAACACGTTTTGAAACTCGAGCCTCGTGGACATTGCAGTATCTTAGCTGGTATTTGAAGACTCTTGTGTTGTAAAATATTTCTAGGTAACCTTATCTGTTATTCTTGACAGCCTCGCACAGTTTTGGCAAGGCTCGTGCTTATCAAAGTTAATTAGTTTGCAGCAGCCTTTTAACTGGTGATTCATAAGAATCATTAAAAGGTTTCTGTTCCCTTTGGTTCGTGTTTGTTTTATTGGAAAAGAGTTTGGGTCAGAAAAGACTGATTCTTTGTGACTCCATGCGCCATAGCACACCAGGTCCGCCAAAGTAGACATTATTGTTATGAATTTTCAAAACAATTAACTAAGAACTGATTGAGAAAACAAACATGTACAAAGGCATCAAAATGAGTAAGTATTTCAACAATGGTTTTCTTTGTTTCTTCTGCTTTGGTAACACTTACTTGTCCTTCCAGTGGTGATGTCCATAGTGGCCGCATATATCCTCAATCCCCGTCAAGAGATGATCCAGAAACTATTTCAAAAGGAAGAAAGATTCATTTATTGAACACTGCCGTCTCTCGAGAAGAACGACTCCTTCCAATCGCAAGTAGGAAAAAAAAGAGTGTGAATACCATGAATTCTGAGAAAAAGTTAATTCTGGACCGCATAAAGCTGTGAACCCACATATTTGAGGGATGGGATATAATGGATAATGGACTAGAAAGAATTGTTTTGGCAAGGTTAAGGAAAGCACAAGGAATAAACAAGAGATACGGTGGATGTCAACTCTGAATCGAACCTGGCTGAAGCCATTTTGTGCTGCTTCATAGTTGCCATTCACTGCGGGGAAGGATGAGGGGGAAATAGTTAGACCATCTGGTAGGCAAAAAAAAAACCTCTCCCGTGAAAACCAAGGTCATCCCAACAGGTGGCAGTTGGAGGAGGAGAAGAAATGATTGAGGAAACCCACCAACTGCTTTGATTGTACAATGTGACACCTGGGGAGAGAAACGTTTGCTCTTTTAATTGCATGGTGACCACGGGAAACTTTTAGAGTTGGGGGTCTTTTCTTTTTTATTTATTCAACATTTCAACATTAAAAAAAAACAATTTCCACTTTTTACAACGATTCCATAATGGTGTTAACACTAATAGATAACGTCTAAAATAATATCAATTACTTCTCCATTGTTATTCACTTATATTCTTATTTCTATACTATATAACATCTGTATACATAGATACATTTTTAATTAATACTTTCTCATTTTTGATGTCAATTGATGCCTTTGCACCTTCTTTCTAACCACTCATACCAAATATTCCATATCTTATAGTACTCTTTCTCTTCTTTCTCTTTTAATATCATCGTTAGCTTGTCCATTTCAGCGCATTCGAAAGTTGGTTTTCACTGGCTGTGCTGATATGATGTGTCCAATAAACACGTTCTCTGGGGAACGTTCTTGCCTTGGAGTTCTGATTTCTTTGGGTGCCTTGCTTGGAACATTGACATTGGATGGGTGGAATCTATCAAATTACAGAACTATCCCTTTAGAGTTCCCAGCTATAAGAAAAGGATAGTCAAGAATCCCACACAGTAATCAAACAGGAGTTGAGTGCCAACTTGATGGCACCTAAATATGGGTAGTCCTCAACCTAGGACCACAACTGAGCCCTATTGCTAAGCAAGGCAGTTGTAACATGATTTATGACCTTTCTTGCAACCATTGTTAAATCTGGTTTCCCCGTTGACTTTGCTTGTTAGAAGGTTCATCAACATCTGATGATGGATATGGCACAAGAAGTAGTAGTCAGAAGGTTGCAGAAGGGGATCACATGACCCCAGGACACTGCAACTGTCATAAATACAGGCCAGTTGCCAAGCATCCAAATTTTGATCATGTGACCATGGGGATGGTGCAATGGCTTTAAGTGTAAAAAAAAAAACCACGGTCGTAAGTCAGTTTTTTCAGTGCTGTTGTAACTTTGAATAGCAATAGCAACAAATATACTGCTTCACATGGCTTTGCAGCCCTCTCTAAGCAGTTAAACAGAATCAGCCTATTGCCCCTAACAATCTGGGTCCTCATTTTACCAACCTCGGAAGGATGGGAGGCTGAGCCAACCTTGAGACGATGAGATCTGAACTGCCAAACTGCTGGCAGCCAGCAGAAGTAGCCTGCAGTACTACCTTCTAACCACTGCACCCCCATGGTCATTAAACAAAAAATATTATAAGTTGAAGACTACCTGTAGTTAACCTTCTCTCTCCAGTGAGAAGCCTATTTTTATCATATGACTAACCCTAAACCAGAACAGCCAGAATAAAAATACAAAGCCTCCTCCAGGACAGTTCATTTGCTGTGATTATATGTTGCTATCTCCCGGAGGTCCTTTAGTTGGGGAACTCACTAACTTTCCTCCGCTCTATCCAGTAAGACTACTATCTTGAGGGCACCAGGTTGGGGAAGGCTCAATTAAAAGCACAAGACATTTCATTTAAGTTGCACTGCCAAGGTTCTCCCATAGGTGGCAGCAGAGTCCTTGCTTTATTATTAAATCCTGCTTCGGACTGTTGTTCATTTTAGTATGATTCAAAGTTACAACCAGCTCGGGAAAAGTGGCTTACGACCAGTCCTTGAAGTCACAACCATCATGCAACCCCCATGTTCACATGATTGCAATTCAAGCACGTGGCAACCAGATCACATTTACATCAATTGCAGCATCTTGTCTTCAGTGATTTAGAACTGGGAAGCAGTCAATTGGGGAAGCTGGATCTGCTTAACCATCATGTGATTCACTTAAAGACTGTGGTGATTCACTTAATGACCATGGTAAAAATGATTGTAAAATTCCAATTGTGGTTGTAAGTTGAGGACTATTTGTAAAAAAAATAATAATCTTTGCAACGTTGAATATTGTGAAAGACGATGTCGAAAACATTGCCTTCCTAATTTAATATTTAAAATTACATTTTGCAGATGCAATTTACAGATTTTAATATTTAAAATTACATTTTGCATATGCA